CATAGGCATAAAATATTCATTATTGGTGAACATTTTGAGGTACTTTTCATTTAAATATTCAAATGTTTAATATTTTTATTTTAAATACCAAATCCTTGGTTTGAAATGAAATACCTTTTATTTGAAAATGTTAAGTTATTAAATATACCGTATATTTCAGCATACACCTATACGTTTTTGAATGCTCTGCTAGCAATAAACGTTATAACGTAACCGAATGGGAAGCCGTTAAACAAGGCATAGTGACAGTAGTCTGAAACGCCCACCGACTATAACTGGAGAACCTATGATCAGGATCTAAACTGTACGCCACCATCGTATTTAGGCTACCAAATGAACTACATCAGCGTGGACCTTTATAAACCATTTCAACCACTCGCTAATATATACAAGGTATTTTCATTAAACAGTTGGGTATATATCCTTGTTACGTTAGCGTGTATTACACTGGTCGATACGATAACGCATAAACTATTTGACCAACATCAATTACGCGAACCACTGTACCAAAAATTTTGGGTATATATCAAGTCATTACTATTGGTGTCAGAGGGTCGGGGTTATCGCAACGGCTTTTACGCCGTGTGGTTGGTGTCGACGCTGCCGTTGATACACATCGTGTTGAACGACATAACCGCGCAAATGGTGAAAAGGGATGTGGCGCACGTGGACACCATCGACGACCTACTGGACGATCGGCTCACCGTATATACCAGTTACTGGAATAACAAACAGTTCAACTCACCAGGCTACTACAACTTACTACCGGACGAGTTTCGTGGTAAATTTTTAAAAATGATATCGAAATTGGCCGATGTCGAATTGGGCGATGTTTTAACGTATTTCACGGAAAGCTCCACGTCCTTTTATCGTATAATGAAAAACATTGCCCTGATAGCCAACGACTTTGAGATTGGCAATCTCGTATCGATATTGGGCGCGTTCACCACACTGCACCTAGGTCAACCGGATTTGCTTATACCGATTACTACGTTATGCCACGGTGCTAATTATCCGTTTGATAATATCACGCGTACGGTGTAAGTATTTGTTCGTGGGTAATTAATTAATTTAGTGTTATAAAACGTAGATATTACTATTCCCATTATGAGTATGATGATGTAACATGTTAAAATTATTTATATTCGCCCATTTCATATATATAATTAATTAATCGATTAAACTCAGATACATTATGTTAAAATTGATCCAGGCCACATTTAAATTTATTGAATTTATCTCGCTACGTTATTATGAATATAATAATATTGAAAGCAATCCATACATTACAGGTCTCAACGTTTTATTGAGTCGATGATGCTGGATCGTTTATCACTCAATGCTCAACACGATGGCTACATTCAATATAAGCTTATTTTTGAGCTGGGTAGTTTACTCGATGGCCGTACACTCGCCGACTACTACATGGATACTATACCGGTGTACGAGCCGCTAGTTTACGCCATATTCACGACAATGTTTATAACATTTATATATTGTTTTGCATTCAGTTTTGTCGTATTGATTGTCGAAATTGTTGTCAAAAAATTAGACAATTTTTAAGTTACCAGTGAAGTCTATCTATAATGTAAATCTTGTTTATATTAATCGATTTATTAAATATTTTTCAAATATAATTATAAATGTTAAATACATTTATTTGATTGTACTTGATGAAATTTGTTTCGTTATTAATTGTGAATTACTATTTATAAATATTCTCCAATAAGAAGTGAATATTGTGTTTGTGTTGATGAACAGTAGATTACATTTCTCATTAGGTTTTTGTATAAAAATATTTTCACGATTAGTTTGATAATTGTTTTATTATAGAAAGCTTTTGTATTTCTGTCACTATTTGTGTATTTAATTATAATAACTATTAAATCATACCATAATAAATTAATAATAAATTAATAAATTGTATACAGTAGCATTTGTGTAATAATTACAGTATTATATTATATTACATAATTTGTGAACACATTATTTGATAAGCATTTTGGCGCTAAAAAGTGGACTCACTTTGTGAATGCATTGACAGTGAATGCTGTATTGAATACTAGTATTGATTGATGACTTCAAACTTAAATTGTTTAGCAATTCATTGGTTCATAGTATTGATTGGATTTGTGTCTCATTTGTCATATAGTTGTGTGGTTTGAGTGGACCAGTGCGAGTGTATTGCGTGTATTGCCTGTCAATTGGTCTCACCCTCTGTATATTCTCGCGTAAGTGATGTGCGATATATAGTGATTGATTGCATGCAATGTCTGTTTGTGTGTTGTATTGAGTTGTGGCGCTAAATCTCAGCACAAATGCCATCAAAACGTTGTGTTTTGTCTTTTCAGTGATCATTACATAAGTGTTGCGAGTCTTTCATCATATCTTTTGTGTCATTCATTGTGTGAATGTTTTGTTTGATTTCATTGAATGGCTTATAATCCGTGAAAATGTCATTAAATCGTGTCTTTTGTCGTACTTTTCATATGAATAGCGGTTTTGATTGCATTTCTAATCGCCGGTCGTTCAGACACTTGTGTCCACACATCCCACGACTCGTCCGCAAGTCATCCGCATTACTGTCACCACAACTCACATCGCAGACCATAACAAGCACATCCATGTCGACCATCACTTCGTTGCCGCCAAAGAGCGCTTCCAAGAGCTACACGACGATCGCCATCGAGGGTAACGTGGGGTCCGGGAAGACCACATTCCTCACACATCTGCAGACATTCAACGACGACACGCGACGACTGATCCAGTGTTTCGCCGAACCCATAGACAAGTGGCGATCGGTTCGCGGCGTAAACCTCTTCTCCCTTCTCAACGAAGACATCAATCGGTGGTGTTTTCCCTTCCAGTCGTACGTCCAGCTGTCGATGCTTCAGATGCATCAGACGGCGCCCACCGATCCAGAGGTGGCCATCAAACTGATGGAGAGGTCCCTCCATTCGGCCCGTTATTGCTTCGTAGAGAACCTCTTCCGCAGACAACACCTGAGACGCGAAGAGTACGCGATTCTCGACGAATGGTTTCAATGGATTGTTCGGTACGAGCCGAGTGTTGGCATCGATTTGATTATATATCTGCGAACCGATCCGGAGGTGGCCTTCGAGCGCATCCTTCGCAGGAATCGTCCGGAGGAGAAGAACCTGACGCTCGACTATCTCAAGGATTTGCATCACTTGCACGAGGAGTGGCTGTTGGGTCGCCAGGACTCCACGTTTGCCATACCGGCGCCCGTCATTGTGATCGACGCCAACCAGGACTTGGCCGAAGTTAAGAGGGTTTACGACCGACACTCCGTTGATATACTTAATGGCAACGCCTTTAAACCCATTCACAATGTCTGCAAACAATACTAGTTATGAGTGAATGATTTCATTAATTGGCACTCAATCAATCAAATTTATATTTGCGTACCATTTGTCTCTTCAAATCAATTAATAGTCACTTTTCTTATGATTTATTTTACTTTTTTCATATTTAATGCATTAATGCATTCACTTTTTATAAATTATAATCCACTTTTTTACCGGTAATACCCTATGTACTCTATACACCAATTTTGCATCATTTCCAATTACTACAGTAAGCAGTATTTCAATTACCGTATAATTTATAAATGTTTTGCTTCACATTTTGTATGCATTTAAGTGAGTAAATTGTAATCAAAATAAATAAAAGTTTTTCAAAATAATCAAACTTACCGTAGGATTTTTTTATCAAATCAATTCAAATATTGATCACATCGATAGGAATTGTTACATTTATTGTACCATTATGTGAGTGAGGTTTACCAGCAATTTTTTATCAACACTACCGGTAATTATTTAATTAAATACGAGATTCCTGTAAATATTTGAGTAATTGATCATTTATTATTTGTGTGGTACAGTGATAGATCATGTATGAAAATAATTATTGAAAATTGAATCAATTTGATCTTGTACGGTAAGACATTTATTGAATACGGTACATTGGATATAAAAGTAGAAATGAGTACCGTACCTGTACAAATTGTGTGATTATTGTATTCATTCTTATTTAAATATAATTAATTTTACTTTCCTACTGTTTACGGTACAGTACTAAATAATTGCCACAAATTATATAAATTTTTTATCAATTATTCATAATTTTATTTACCGGTAAATAAATACCTGTACCGTAATACCGGTAATATACTGTAAATATTGTAATATCTTAATGTAAAAATATAATTTTTGGCATAAATATAATAAAAATGACATAAATATAGTGTATTAATAAATGGCAAAATCTAATTATCTAATAGTTTATATTATAAATGTTTTAACTACTAAATTGAGATGTGCTGCCAAATACAGTATTACCGTATCATACTTTGCGTGAATGCATGGTCTCAACGAGCGTTTCAATGAATAGATACCAAATACCGTATATTAAATACAATTTTGCAATTTCATTGTCTGGCCATCACTTGTTGGCCAACGACTCGAACACCACTTCCAACTCATCGTCGGAGCTTTCAGTATCTTCGGGAACATGACCTGAAAAATGGTCACCAATTGATATGAAACACTACATGATTAGGCAAAATACAGTACAGTTTGGTGGATCCCTGTCGTCAGCACTGGGTCTCATTCTATTGGTCGAGATTTTTCCAAAACTATGCAGACGTTTGTGTTTCTCGAGGCTCTCAATGGTGAGGAACCGGCGGCTACAGTGACTCCAATCACAGGCATACTGTTGTTCACTATCTGTGCGCCAATGACTGTCCCTTTTATGGGTGATTAGCCCCGATTGCGTGACAAACACTTTATGGCAACCATTTATCAGACATTTGTGCTTTTGTTGAGAGACATGAGTGGCGGCCACCGAATGGCTGAGTCGTTGGTGTCGATTCAGTTCGTACTTAACATGTGTTTTATAATCACACGAATCGCATTTAAACTCCAATAATATGTGAACGTTTTGCATATGTTTTAGGAGTCGTTTTCGGCTTAAGAATTGTTTCCGGCATTCACTACAAGTCATACTTCCGGTCGAATGAGTGCTTTTGTGCGCGATTAAAGACTTTTTGTCGAAAAAACTTTTGTGGCAATCGTCCCAATCACATGTCAAGTGCCGTAAAGTCATGTAATTTCCATAGTTTTTGTGGTTCTGTAAGGCCTGCTTCGTTGTGAAGCTTTTATTACAGCCTTTGGTATGGCATACGAATGGACGGTCTGTGAGATACGGGTCCTCCGATGGCTTTAAACTAGATGTTTGGCTTTGCAATGGTTTTGTCGATGATTTATGCGATGAAACTACTGATGACTTATCATCCGATGGTTGGACTAAATGTTTGTCCAAATGTTTCTTCAAATACGAGGACTTATTTGTCCTGTAATCACATTCAGTGCAATGGAATCGCTTTTTGTGTACTTTATTCACATGACTTAAGTATTGACTCTTGAGTTTGAATTCTTTGTGACATTCGTTACATTTTGTCATTTGTATCTTTGGATTTGGCATCACTGGCACTGGTATGGCAACAGCCGTCACACACGTGTCACTGTAGTTGCCATTAGTTTGAGCTACTTTTGGGGGCAAAGCATCACTTTTATAGCTATTAATATGATTAGTACTGTTTTGTTGAACCAATTCATAAAATACTAGCAATTTATCTGTCGATGGCTTAGGGATAGTGTTTGACACAAATGTCTTATTAGTACTGTTGGTGTCGAGTGTCTGGTCTTTTGGACAACCCTTCAGTTCATTGATATTATCTGTAAAATTAATTCAATTAAAAGTAGTGTACAGTATATTCAAATACTTCTATTATCTACAACTTACCACTCATTAACTTATCACTTGATCCTACGCCTTGTGTCGCAATTAACTTCTTGGACTCTGTTTGTGGCACACAATCAACACTTTGTTTGACATCCAATTTAAAAGACTTTTTGACATCAATTTTATCGCACTTTATGTCATCTATGGGTCGCTTAACAATCTTCAAGTCTTTTATGTCTGTTTTGGTCTCATTTTTGGTCTTAATGTCCGCCAATTCAATTGGTTTTGTGTCACATTTGGTCTCAAACTCGCGCTTAATATCTGCACCACAAGACACACTGTCATCCATGGCTTTCATGAGATCTTCGGTGACCATCAAAGTGGTGACCGATTGGGTGTCACTCGACGATAGCTCACGAGTTGTCTGTTTCGCCAAATGATAGTCTCGTTCACATCGGATAAGTTTGTGGTAGATATCAGTGGACTGATGGCACCGACATGTGTTGATCACAGCGAGTGATGTGCTTCGATGGCTCTCGAGGACTGCCAGCAACTCGTTGTTGTGGACGCCTTGACGAGTGGACACAAACAAAGACATGACTCAATTGGTCATCAATTGGTCATACATACCATCGGTGGTGGTGTCCGAGTGGTGCAGACATGTCTTCTTGCGGTCGTTGTACTGCTTCTCCAATTGAATCAAATCGTGAAACAGATGTGACTTTTGATTACATTTGCAGTTATTTATCAAATGAAGGCATAAATCCCTAAATGTGTGCAATATTTGAGTCAATTTGAGCACTAAATCACTCATCGCTTGTCTTTCCATTCAATTCATTGCCTTTTTATATATGACTGCAAACTAATTGTCAAAAATGTAGTCAAAATTGTATGAAATTTCATTGAAGTGTTGTTTTTGTTTTGTTTATGTCGTTCACAGCTATCATTAACGCCACTCAACTCATTGGTATAGCCCCTGATTGTCAGCTGTCACCTGAACAGTGTACACTACTGTATACAGTTTATACTATACCGTACACTATATTGTATATTTAATACATAAACCCCACACGAAATAATGTAACGTTATTTGTCAACAACTTATATTACTGTATGATAAACGGTATTAACAAGCAAGTCAATTGAATTTAACTTTTTTATTACACTTTTTAAACCATAAAAACAATTGGCAATCAAATCACTTTTTATTTACAAATTTGTATAAATTGCCCAGTACCAATCAGTATATTATTTACACTAATTAATTTACACTCAATATATTTACACTTTTTTTTGTATATGAAAACAATAAATTAGTTTTTATGTGCCAAACACCTGTTTGTTATTCTAGTTTGAAATGGGTTTTCTAGTGAACACCCTGAGCATTTTGGTGGTCATACTGGCCATACTGTTCACCGTATTTGTCAATTACCCGGAACCCCCTCTCAGTCCACTGTTATATCAATGGCAGTCGAGTGGACACTACTTTCACTTCAAAGGATATCAAGTGTTTTATAAAGGTTTGCATTGTCTGTAAAAACCTTATTATAACCTTACATTACTCTTAATTAATATCCATTACAGTATTACTTAAAATTTCCTATACTGTAAGTATTAACATGGTCATATAAGTAACTCTAACTTGTAAGAGTACTACAGTGAACCTAATGACAAGTGTTTTATAAACTAAAGCAAACTTTGTTGAACTCTAATAAAGTTTTGTGACAAACCTTGTGAACAACTTTGAATACTGTAATGTCATTACAATTAATTTGTTATCAATTCATTTGACAGATGAGTTGAGTGAGAGTGCGGCCAATGACATAACGGTGCTATCACTGCACGGCTTTCCCACGTCCAGCTTTGATTGGTATAAGATATTGCCGGATATGCGGCGCAATGTCCGCCGATTCATTGCACCCGACTTTCTGGGCTTTGGTTTAAGCGATAAACCGGTTATATATTGAATACTATTTTAATTTAATAAACACTTTACGAGTCCATTGTCTCATGAATTGTCTGTTTGTGGTTTCATTCGTATAGCGGTTCCACTCGTATTCAATCGTTGAACAAACGGATCTCATCGAAGAACTTATGATGACTTTAAAAGTGGATACAAATGTTCATATTTTAGGCCACGATTACGGCGATACTGTCGCTCAGGAGCTGATGGCCAGACAGATGTCTGTATTTAAGACCTTTATGTCAACTTTGTTATAGTGTTAGTGAACCGTTGAATTGGGCTTTAATTACTGTATTTGTCTGTAGTTTGATAATACAGTACCGTATGTACAGTATATGAATGAACGGCCATCAAGGTACAGACAAAGTATGTGGCTTTTTAGAGTCACCCCTTTATTTCAATTCACACATATATTTGAAGCGTTTAATAGGATATAAACATTGGGTTAAAATCATTATTATTATATTAATTGGTTTAAATTCTATTAAATGCGTCAAATATATCTAGTAGATATTATCTACATAAACTGTACGGTATAACTCTGTACCGTAATATGATAATTTATCATTTATAAACATAAATTTAATGACCGTATAATTTAGGGTTTGTTCACTATAACAAGGTTCACAATGATATTACGTTTATAAAAACTGATCGTTTTAATAACTTTTTTATGATTAAAGTGATGGCAATTTAAGCTTCAGGATCGCGAGTGTGTGTCTATTAAACGGTGGCATATTTCCCACAATTCATAAACCAATACTCATGCAAACGGTTAGGGATTTGAATTACATTGCTCTGCAGTTATGATAATAAGCTAATTATTATTTTAATTACCAATGGTTTGTGTATTAAATTACATTACCGTATATTTAATGAACAGTTGTTGAGATCTCCAATATTGGGAACAATTTTGTCGAAACTTTCCAATTATTATATGTTTTCGATGGCATTGAGCGGTGTATTCGGTCCTAACAGTCAGCCCTCTCGTGACGACTTGCATGACTTCTGGAAACTGATTCGTCAAAAGGACGGCTACCGAGTAATGGGAGACATCTTGTCATACATTGACGATCGTCGTCAACACGAGGATCGTTGGGTCGGCGCTCTCCGCACTAATCAAATGCCATTACATTTCATATACGGACCGTCAGATCCCATCAATCGATCGCCAGAATTCCCGAACACTTATAGGAAAATCATTCCCAACCCAAGTATCGATGTGTTGGACGACCAGATCGGACACTACCCGCAGTTGGAGTCCCATAAGCGAGTCATTCAGTTGTACTTGAATTGGTTGAAAAGCCGGCAGTTTATCACACAATTGGTGTTCAATACGTAACAACCATTTCCTCAATCATTATATTTGTTTATTTAGATATAGACCAATCTCTTTATTTACTGTACGCTAGATTATGTACACATTTTACAGTTATTGGGGACGTATGTCCAAAATCTTAGTGAATAGACGGAACATTATCTTTCACAAACATTTTAAGCATTTCTAACTTTCTATTGAAGAGTCGATTCATTTGACTATATATTACCTGTATTATACAGTACTTAGTTTCAAATTAATGCTCAAATTCATTGCCAGATAATACAAGTTTTCAAACTGACTTATTATTATTACTACTGTATAACTCTTGTGCGACTAATCTTATAACCTAAGTTAATCTAATGGTCTAATAACAAGTATTTTGGCATACTGCCGTAGTCCCCAAGTTTACCAAATATACTTCTAACATATCATACTGAATATTACTGTTATACTGTTGCAAAAATTAGTTTTCAGCGTTTTTAAAGTAAACCTTTGGGAACGGTATCTAAGGAAACGCCACTTTTCTATATAAACTGATTGATTCTAGTTTCAATGCATTTCTACACAATATACAGATTCTATACTCTATAAATAGTTTTGTATTTAAGATTGTATTTAAATATTATATATTTTTGTACATTTTGGTATAATTTTTCCTAAAATCAACTCCAAATCATGATATAATTAAATTGACAATTGATTTGCGTTTTAGGACACAATATTTTTAGATACAATATGTAATCTAATGTTTAAATTCTTTTAATAAAAAGACATTATATACGGTAATATGTACAAAATTTTAGTTAATTATGAATACATGAGTAAATATTACTTATGGTAAGTGTATATTTTAATTATCTGTACCGGTATATTTAAATATCCTAGCGATTTATAAGTCAAAACAAATTGATTTGAGTATATGTTTGGGAATAAAATGAGTTTCTAAGGGAACTTCATCCCAAACACAACTAATATTCAGTGCAATACGAGTGCAAATTCTAAGATTTATTTATACTGGCGAAATGTATACTGGCACATTTTGGGTATATGGAAATACAGTAGATTTAATTACAAATATAGTAAGTTAAATTAATTGACATAAAACACAATGAGTGCTTCGGTGGGCAAAACAGTCGATGAAGTGATCTATAAGACAATCAAAGAGTACTTTGACGTCAACTCGAATGAAGTGACAGGCGATCAACGAAAACAAGTGAAACACTTCTTCGCCTCTTCGGCCGACTCCACGCAACTCGTCATCTTAAAGAGCGACGAGTCGCCCAATCATATCCAGTTGCACACCAGACAACTGTCGGATCAGCAATTAGACGAAGACAATCATATGAACCGTCGCGACTCAACCGTAGTGTTCGTGAAATTATCACAAAATTCTGGCCAAAAGTCTTCGGACGTTACGACCGATGAGTCCATTATCTCAGAGACGGAATCTATCGCTCGTTTGCGACGTATTCTGCACCGAATGGACGGATCCGTCTCCGCTCTCATGCATGCGTTGAGCGAATTGAGACGACAGGCGCGCACTCGACAGGTGCTGACGGCACTGACTGCAGAGCGCCGGGATCTCGTGCTCAAAGTGAACGACTGGGCCGACGTGTGCGCCGACACCAGCGAACTGGCCGACACCAACCCAGAGATCACTGATCGGATCAGCGTATTAAAGGCACGGGAGGGTAAACTGCGGGCAGTGATGCGCGTTTGCGACCAACTATTCGGTGAAGACATTCAAGAGTACCAGAAATCGAAGACATCGTTGGATCAGATCTGTCGAGAGCTGGCCGACGAATCCCAACGACTGTTCCGCGAGTGGTGTAAACGCGTAAACGGCGTGTCTTTGGACGCCCGGCGCCAGTGTATAGAGATTGACACAAGCACTCAAGTGCCTCGAGTGACCTTTGATCCCAAGATGGTTAAGTTGGCCGCCGATACCGGTGTACTGCGGTGTCTGGGCTTTGCTATACCGGCGGATATACTGACGGCCGAGTCGGACGCTAAGAAATACGGCGGATATGCGCGAGAATTGCGCGAAATTGTGAACTTCTACTGTAGTGTCGCCGACCAGATCCTACTGTCCCAGAGACCGATGCTTATCGGACCGGCACAAAAGTTTACGGCACTCCTGGAGGCTTCCCGGGAGCGCATGTCATGGGCGGACGACTCCAACAAACTCATGGTATGGTTGGACGAGTTAAAGGCATTTGCAAAACAGTTTGCGTCGGAGAATCGTTTGTTGCGAAGACATCACCAAAAAGTATTGCTTTTGATTAGGAATTTGTTTGACGTTCAGGTGGTTAAGTGGCGGCCCATTATCACCGACGCTAAGACATTGGTTCAAGAGATCGACTATCGGTAAGAATATTTTAAACACATGTTTATGACTCATAAGTTGTCGGCTATAATTTGCAGTAATAGCTATATGCTATTTATCTAACAAGTAAGGTGACTTATTTAATGAAAATCAATTTAATATTTGCTATGAATGTTTAGTAATTTAATACTGTATCTAAATATCAATCCATTTAACAGGTATGAGAACACCGGGCCCTGGAAGCGGCACTGGGATCACCAGTTGTATAAGATATTGGAGTTTCATTTTAACGACACTCTTATCAAATCTGATAATCTATTGTCATTTGGTGTCAATAATAATAAAAGCAGTTTTGCGTTCAGATCGACAACTAAATCAACCGGTGCTGGCGGTGGTAGTGATGATCAACAACTGAAAATTGAACTGTGTTTTAGTACTGGTGTCGTAGCATACAGGTTTGACATAATAAATTTATTGATATATTAACTTATTCTTATTAGTACCGGTACTAATTTTTATAAATATTAATGACTTTAAAAAAGTTTTATTTCATTGTGATACATAATATATTATGTAAATGTAATATTTATATTTTACAACCTTACTTATAGGCCGCCACTGGAGGAATTGAAAGCTAAAATATACGCCAGAATTAAAACATTTTTATCGTTACCCGAAAAGTTTGAAGGCTTTTCGCAGTTGAATGGCAATCAAAATAATGCTAATAATAATGACACGAATAATAAATCTTTATTTTATGCCATATATTTACGAAATTTTAATAATTTTCCCATTCTTTACGAAAAGGGAAATGAAATTATCGACGAGTTATTGACTATAAGACACACATTTGTCGAGTGGTGTTCCCTCTATCATGTGATCCGATGGCAGACCACTTCTTCCAACTCTGAGGGAGACATTAAGGATGGAGAAAGTTTGGCTCAATTCTTGAAATTAGACACTTTGGATGACTATAAGAATAATCTGATTCTCATTAAAACAAAGTCCCAGAAGTTTAATAAGCAATTCGCCGATAACGAGATCGTGTGTCGGACGGGTAGTTTTGTCATCAATATACTGCCGATTAAGGCATTTGTCGATTGGTTACTTATCGAAGCCGACAAACTACTGGTGCGATCGTTGAGAGACCGGTGCGACGAAGAGATTAAAGTGATAGAAAGGAAGTGCAATGAATTGCTTGACATGACATCCAAACGACCCGATAGTATACAGGAATTGCTGGCAATCGACCGGTTATTTAAAACAGAGTTGAAAGCTATTCAGACGGACCTGAATGAGAGGTACGCCGAGTTGGAGGCCAAGTTGGCGTTCCTCATGAAATGGTCGTCCAAAACGGCCCCCGATTTGAGTGAAGTCCGCCAGAAATTTGATGAATTTGAGAGAATTACTGAAACTAAGGACTCGCTTCTCGATTCTTATAAGTAAATTGTTTACATTTTGGTATATATTATAACATAATTAATATAATTAATGTGAATATCGAATTAATGATTGCTATAATTTATAAATGTGTTCAAATATGATTTGATTTGTGTGTTGTGCCAAACAGAGAGATCCTAAAGTCGCGAATGGAGGCAGAGTTGGGTAACACGAGCGCTGAAATACAGCAATTCGTGTCGCGCTGGCAGTCGATGGGCGACGACATGAAGGAAACCAAAGAAGTGATCCGTGAATATCGCGTGGAATGCGATTCATTGGCCCAAAGGTGTCAAGAGTTTTCGTTAAGTTGTGATTACTTTTCGGCGCCCAAACCTAAATCTTTTGAAGTGTTCGCACTGGTAGTCGACGAAGTGCTCGACACGGATGCCAAATGGACACTAATACACGACTTTGAGGCGGGAATTGATAAATACCTGGACATGGAATGGATTGTTAGCCGTAATAAATTGTCGGCCATCGAGAGCTATATAAGCAAATGGGAAGAAGATAACCCTTCAGTGGGCCCTCTGCTTACCAATCGGGTCCGCGAGTGGAGGGAATTGTTAGCTCTCTTGAAAATATGTAGAGGCGAGTGCTTTGTTAAGAGTCATTGGCAGGAGTTCCTGTCATTGATAGGTCTGGCCATGGATTACGAAAAGCTGAAACTCTCGGATTTATTGAAACAACGCAAGCAGTTGGTTATGTCGAGGGACGCCATCAAAGAATTAAATACAAAGTGAGTGTCAATTCTTTCATCAATCAATCAAAGAGAGTAATCCTAAGAGTAAACTTAATTTTGGTGTAAATTATTGAAAAAAAAAATTCTTGTAGAAAATAATTGCTTTTTTATAATTTAGTTATAAAAATATATATAATAAATATGTTTTGGTCAGAGCTTCCAATGAGATGTCGATTCGCGAGACATTCAACGAATTGGATTCGTTTGCCGCGAGCGCTCAGTTGGCACTCTATGACCATCAGATGTCCGATGGGGTGCCGGTGCGAGCGATACGCGACTGGCGCTCAATACTAAACCGGGTGTCGGAGTGCAGCCTAACTCTACAGACCGTCAAGAATACGGAGTTCTTTGGCACCAACGATCTCCAGGAGCGGTCAGCCCTCTGGGAGAGCCGTTTGTCGCAATTGGATTCAATACTGGGCCTCTTGAATGGAGTGCAACGCAAATGGATATCTCTGGAGCCTATCTATGCTCGCGACGACACCGGTATGTTTACGGACTACACGTTCGCGCCGTCGTCTCGAGACTTTCAGGAGATACTTAAACTTGTAGCCAAAGACCCGCACGCCATGCGCTTACTGCACATCCCAGGTATGAAAACGTGGCTAATTGTTCCGTACTATGAATTTAGTAATATATACTCCAGTTG